AATATATATATATATTTTTTTTTAAATTATAAAAACTAAACAGCCTACAGTATTTTTACAGTCTTTATTTTACAGTTAAAATTTATGTTTATTAAATAAAGTCTAATGTTACAACTAATCAGGAATCCCTTTAAGAAGTGGAACTGTTACATGGAGTTTTCTTTAATTTGGAGATTAGTGGCTGCGGTGATGATGTTAGAAGTGGAAGATGAAGCAACAGGAGGTCTGGATATCATTTACAGACTGAGGTGGAACAGAGACACGTCTGTGTGAACAGGAACAGTGGGTCAGGTGAGCCCCGGTAATGAAAACGTGTTGAGCGTGTGTACCTGCTCCCTCCCTCGGTCCACCCTGTCCATCAACTGGTCTCCTGTTTGACGCTCCTCCTCAAGGTCCAGCTCCAGCTGAGCAATCCTGTCCTGCAGATAAGAAATCACATTTGAACTGTGAGTGACTGTTTTCTGGGTTTTATTGACAGGTGAGGTTTAATAAAATTTGTCCTTTTGCAAGAACTCTCACTCTACAGCTCATAAAAACAAACTCTTTCACTATAGATTTATGTACCTCCAGTAGCTTCATTTGTCGGGATTTGTCATCTTTGTTCTGACTGGTTTTCTCCATCTCCATCTCCAGCTCTTGGACCTTTTTCTCCAGAGTCTTCTCCTGGAGAAGAGCGTCGTCTCTTTCCCTCTGACACTGCCGCAGGTCCTGCTCCTGCWGTGAGAGCTGAAACAAAACACATCAATTGGTTTTTGAATACAAACATACAGCAGCAACCTAATGACCACTGTCTAATAAATCAGTCAGTTTGCAGAGATTTTTATCTGAAGTGTTTAAATATCAGAAGGACGACTTGAGCTTTAGTAAATAAAAGGTCGCAGGTAGAACAAAAACAGACTCTTGAGGTAGAGGACATTTAAAAGAAACTTTTTCTTTCAGGTTTACAACTCTTTAAATAYGTTTACAGTCCCTGAATGCGTCTGATTTGAGTTCAATGTCACACTAAGAAGGCCTCATATGTGCAAACCCACCTGTCGAAATCTCTCCATTTTGTTTTAAGATTTCACCTTAATTCATAAAAAAGAAACGCAACTATAGTAACAATCAACATTTTAGCTGCTGTTTAAATGAATGAATGTATTCTGTGAGTGATTAATAAATCCAAAGCAGCTAGTATGTTCCTTCAGATAGAGCC